GGGGTTCGTCCTGGAGATCTAATGTTTAAAGGCTAACTTACATCTAAGAACCTTTGCAAACGTTTCTTCTGTTTTAAAAGATCTCTTGTTAAAAGATGCTTTCTGATTGGTTCAAAATCAAAGATGGCGGATATTTGTATGTGATAAAATCGCACAAAGGTTTACTTGGATGCACGCTTGACTTTAATCAATAATATTGGTATGATTGGAAATTGATAAAGATATAGCAAAAGCGACCAGATATTGCTGTAAGATGCTAAATACTTAAATTTATATGAAGTCGAGCAGGACTGATGATGCTGTATTAGAGCGAAAGATCGACTTCATATAAAGTAAGTATTTACCATTTAAAAGCAGTATCTGGCTGCATTCGCTATATTATTACTCTCCTACGAACATGCTGCTGAAGGATAACTTTTCAAGATTGGTTTGTTTSTTGTCWCTAATATCAGAATGCCTACCATTACTCTACTTGCAAATGCCTCTACAAGTGCATACAGCTCGAGCCCAGACGGTGCTTCTAACACAATGACCATTTCTCTAGAGGCCGATTCCAAACGGATATTAACAGAACGTCCGTCCAAGTCGTGTTGCCGTTGACTTGTTTCACTGCCTTCTCGGCTGACCTCCAAAACATCGTCTGTATAACTCATCATATCATACAAAAACTGTAAGTCGTGGTTTGTTAGTATTAAAGCTGGTTTGATTGGCTTGCGGATGGACATGAATACGTCTTTAGCGATAGGAAATCGTATTGTTTTTAGTGAGGACWCTGTCACACTCAAGCCGGTTTGGCCGCTACCACTTGCAATCTATTGGAAAACAAATTTTATGGACATTGATTGATAGCAGGCAACAGTGATTTAAAGGCATGTACCWATAGGAGAATCAATATACGATCGTTGTTGTTGCTGTTGTTGTTTCGTTTTGCTTTTTTTTTGTTTTAGTTTCGTTTTGCTTTGTTTTGTTTCGCTTCATTTTGCTTTGTTATGATATATTTCCTCCGTATTTTGAAGCAGTTCGATCACTGAATAAAATCCATCAAAAATTGAAAACCACAGACTTAGCTTTTGATCTTGCAATCCTCATTGCGCTATGAAAACCGTCCTTAACACAGAGATTCCATTTACGACCTCAAGGACTCGAAAACCCCCTTTTTCATTTTTCTAGTTTCGACAAGATAATTAACAACAATGTAAAACGCATTTGCGGGCGAATGGGACAATTATATGGATAACCGTCGTCTATAGAGACTATCGCGATTATTGAGACTGGGGAAAAACTCTGTTCTTGTGCTAACAATCACTACTTGTGTAACAAATAAAGAAAAGGCAAGCTCCAACTTTCTTGTTAAAGCAGAAGTAACKAACTCTTGCTTTTCGATTTCTCCAATAAAACAGAACCTCTATTGTTAGATTAGATTTTGTTGAAAAGTTTGGAAGCGAGCATCTATTGTTTGTTCATTGTTTTACAAGCCAATCACGAGATTCGTTGCGATCGCTTCGTAATAACCCTGTTAAAGCCGCAACAAAAAAGATGAAGGATGTGAATGAGTTCAAAAGCAAGCAGTAATTACCTGACAAAATGATTCAAGTTCATCAAGTTGGGACCGCCGTATCGACATATCAAAACCACTATCTCCAACTTTACAGAGAGATGCCACAAAATGTAGTATATCAATGYTGGTGTGTCCCAGAGACACCAAGACACAGTCTGTCACATGTTGCAAACATTTTGGCAATTTACATAGCAATGWCTTGAGATTATAGCAAACATGGGCTTCAACAGCCAAACACGTTKTTAAGTYATAGTTACTTRGTAAAGACACACAGAACTCCTTTGTAATCCCATAAGCTAGGTTTCCGATGTTCAGTGAATGTGAGRTTACCCTTCTTGAAGAAAAATCMTTTTCAGATGAAAGSCCTCTMATTTGAATGAGAAACGWCCARTTGTCTCGTATCAAAATCCTTGTGAGGTTTTGAAGTTTCAACGTTATATGATAGCTATCTGTGCTTGCGGCATAACCTGGAGAAACTGTCCATTTAAGAAATTCTGATGGCTTTAAAGACGAGTTAAGATTAAAGAGAAGTGTAATATCTTGGTTGAGCTGTTTTAGGACCTTTTCTACAATGTCCAAGTCTTCTCGTAGAGTCTTACTTTGCATGGCAATGTTTTCAATACTGAATAGCAAGTCTTTCAGATGATTTCCTTGTTTGGATTGTAAGGAAGAGATAGCTTTAGCATCATCATAAGGAAGGGAGACGTCCATCACTTTGCCATTTAATGTTAGCATTTCTAAGTAACACCTATCAGGAGTGCTGCTTGATAATTTGAGAGGGCACATTGCTAAACAAGTAGAGACACAAAGAGACGTTAGAAACGCAGTGCCGTATACTATTAACGGCGCTTTTGGTTGAAAAAGATTATAACGAAAAACTTTTATAATAGACTTCTACCATGGAAATACCCAGGTTACAGATGCTTGGGTTGTATTCCTTTAGTAATTTAAGTTATAAGCCTATTTCTGTTTTGCAGTTGCTCAAGGGCGAGATGTTTCCATTTTCTTACAAAACAATAAAAGGAACATAAACTAAGTCTAAATACCTTCTACGTGAAGCAAATACTTAATATTTCACGCCCGATTTCAAGCTAAAGAAATCAAACTTTTGCAGAATGGGAACGGATGAGCTTATCATTTCTTTACAAATTCATTTCCTTGCTGGTTTTTGTTTTCAACAAAATATGGTCTTGTTTTTTTTTTCTTTTTCTTTTTTTACTGAAATATAGTTGTTCTGTTCATGTCGATTTTTTCCTGTAGATAGACCTACTTGCGAAAACACTGTCATAGAAAATAGGACATTTGTATTTAGTAAAAAGGAATAAATTAAAAAAAGACAAAAGAAGATCACTGAGGCTGAACGTKCTCTTTTGTCTTGTTTTAATTTATTCCTTTTTAYTAAATTCAAATGTTCTATTTTCTATAACAAYGGTTCTGCAAGTAGGTGTATCCATTTAATTATTATTTTMGAAGCGTTATTTTGATTTTTCACAGAAGATTATATATACTATGGATAGCTTGGTAGTTGCTTAGGAGGAACAGACATCTAGATGCAGGCAAAAAAAATCCCCACCAATATCATCACAATCTATATTTTTATATTTAATAATTATCCTACCAGCAATATTAGCAATGTTGAAGTATGTTGTCAGAAGAACGACGTTACTACTGTCACCATCCTTGACCAATGAAMGTTTTGCCATACAGAGTTCTTTGCCATTGGAATAGAAGATGTAATTYAGGTAATTCAAACAACAGATGATTGGCCCTGACAAGTTATGCTCAGAATGTGTGAATTCGGTATGATGAYAATAAAAAATGACACATTTTCCTCTTCTACTGATAACTATGACAGCATTACTAAGATTGTCTGACTTGCTATCAGCACTAAGTGTAGTTAGAGAYAGATAACAAATGGGTTCCTCTAAATCCCAAACAAGTTCTGGTGAATTTTYCATTATAAGTGGACTGGTGCTCAAAGACCAAACACGTCCTTCCASACTTCCTAATAATAATACAGCATCATCTTSTGATCCTTTTGGCTTTAAGGCATCAAAGATTGCCCTTTGYAAAATATTGTCTCCAGAGTTRCCATTTTCACGTATGACAAGTAGGCATGCTGRGAAGGAAAATGAGCCTCCTGCATCTTCCAAAAACTTCCTATGAGTTGGGACTGGGTTATATGATAGCTGAGTGCACTGTTCATAAAAAGACACACWGCTTTCCTGTTCACTGGTTGCCACGGTGATGAGAAAGCCTTTGTAAGGWAAAATAACACTGACATTTGGTTCGCAGAGAATGGCATTATTTGCTGTTATTTCCGTAACATGAACAGATGGTTTGTCTTCAGCATGTTGTTGCTTTGTATCATTTGAAAGAAGATCAGAGAATATGACTTGATTGGTTGGTAAATCAGAGTTGGAATTCTGAGTAAAATTAGGTTTTGATGATCTAAAAGAAAAAAATATACATAACATTATAATTTTATGGGAGGACACTTGAGAAGGTCCCAGAGGTTTCAGGGAGTGGAGGAGGGTGTAAGTCAAAATGCAATATAATTTCTTCTTGTAGAAACTCTA